CCCCAAAACCCCAAAACCCCAAAACCCCAAAACCCCTAAATATTAGCCTTGTTTGAATATAATAATATTTTAACAATGGGGAGAGATAGAGACCTAAGCAAGGATCGTAGAAGATCCCGCTCCAGAGACAAGACTCGTGATAAGAAGAAAAAGAGGAGTTCCTCCAGAGATAAAAGGAGAAAATCCAAACGTGACGATAGCTATGAACGTAGAAGAAGAAAGGATGACAAGAAGAAAAGAAGAAGGAGAAGGTCTTCTTCAAGTGACTCCAGTGGGCATAGAGGTAAGAGCAGAAAAAGTAGAAGAAGGTCCAATTCAAGAGAGAAGGAAGCTAAGAGGCAAGCTAGACTGGCCAAAGCCAGACTTCTTAGTCTTCAATTGATGAATCAAGATAATGAATTAGAGGAAGATATGCCTCTTAAGCAAGAAGAGGAGTATGATGAGAATGCCCAGTTTAAAGAGCAACTGAGGCTTTTTGAAGAATCTGGACTTGAAGGAAAGAAACTCACTGAGGAAGAGAAAAATGAAAATGGTGAGAAACCTGATATTGCTGACGATACTAAAACTGGTGAGGAGCTTAAAGAAGATTCTAGAATTAAATCGGATGCTCTAAAGCCGAAGAATGCTGCTCAAGATGCCAACAAGGTAACTAACTCTAATCAAAATAACCAAATAGATAACGATAAGGATTCGTTAGAGCCTAAAGTTCTTCCAAAAAGTGAATTCGTTAGTATGAATTCGTCTGTTTCTCGTTCAAACAACATTTCAGCACCTAAAATTATTGGAACATTAAATTTGGCAGGTACTCCCTCAACTTCGAAAGTGAAGAATATTTTTGAGGATAAGAGCTCTGATAGTCCTCAAAAGGCTCCGATTCCGCCTCCTGCTCCTCTTCCGTTCAATAAAAATCTTGAGAATGAGGCTGATAGTAACAAAGAGGATGTTACAGTCCAAGAAGATGAAGAGGACGACCCCTTTGAAGCTTTTATGAAAGGTGTCGAGCAGGAAGCCTGTGCTCAGGACGACCTTGGCATGGACAAAAAGGATGAGGAGAATGTTATCTCTTATGAAGACATCCTAAAAATGAACAATGACCAGACAGAGTCTGTAATGGAGCAATCCAATATGGATTCTGATGAAGAAATGGAGATTGACAATGCTCCACAGAAGAAAATGGATGAGGAAACTTATCACCAAGAGTTCATGAAAAAGCTTAAAAGAGAAACCGTTGCAAAGGAACAAGAGGTCTTCTTCAGTGATGATGACGATGAGTTTATTGAAAATTTTGAAGCCAAGAAAGAAACTGGCACCGATGATTATTTGGAAAAGCAAAAGAAAGCTAATGAGAAAAGAGAGCTCCTTCTATCGCATAAAATGCAGAGGAGGGGCGAACTTGAGCCTTTCCAGAAGAACTTTTATATCGAGCCTAAAGAAATCACTGATATGACGGAGGAGCAAGTCGAGCAGTACAGAAAAGATCTAGGAGATGTCGCTGTGAGAGGTGTTCAGTGTCCTAGACCTATTATGACATGGTACCAGTGAGGACTGACTCAAAGAATCCTTACTGTGCTGGAAAAGAAAAATTTTGAGGAACCTCGTCCTATTCAGAAGCAAGCCCTTCCGGCTATTATGGGAGGAAGAGATGTGATTGGAATAGCTGAGACAGGAAGTGGTAAAACACTTGCATATCTACTTCCTATGCTTAGGCATATCTTAAATCAGAGGCCCATCAAGGAAGGAGACGGAATGATTGGGCTAGTAGTAGCTCCAACTAGGGAGCTAGCCCAACAAATCTATAATGAGACCAAGCTATTCACCAAGTATCTTAACTTGAATGCTGTCTGTGTGTATGGAGGAGCTGATGTTGGATCCCAATTGAGTCAACTTAAGAGAGGTGCTGAAATTGTTGTTTGAACCCCTGGAAGAATGATCGAAGTCTTAACTACTAATGGAGGGAAATTTACCAACCTCCATAGGGTTACTTATCTTGTGCTTGACGAGGCTGACCGTATGCTTGATATGGGATTTGAGCCCCAAATTTCTAGAATTATTGGTGGGTGTAGAGATGATAGACAGACTGTTATGTTCTCTGCCACCTTCCCGAAGACAATAGTTAGTTTAGCCAAGAGGATCCTTACCTCCCCTCTGGAGATAGTCGTAGGCAATAGAGGCCAAGCTTGTAAAGCAATTGAGCAATTTGTTGAAATAATTGAGGAAGATGACAAACTCCTCAGACTGACCCAAATTCTTGACAAATGGATTAATATTGGAAGTGTGTTGATATTCGTCGACTCTCAGAAAGAAGCAGATGAGCTCTTCGAGAACTTATTCAAACTTGGCTACAAACTATTTACTCTCCATGGAGGTATTGATCATACTGATAGAGAGTATACGATTCAGGATTTTAAGAAAGGAATCAGGAAGATCATGGTCGCAACCTCTATTGCTGCGAGAGGACTAGATATCAAGTCAATCAGAGTGGTGATTAACTACAAATGTCCTAACCATATGGAGGATTACATCCATAGGATCGGTAGAACTGGTAGAGCTGGAAATGCAGGCACAGCATACACCTTCATCACTAGTGATGAAGAACACTATGCTAGCGATTTAGTTAAAGCTCTAAAGTCTTCAGAGCAGCCTGTAAGCCAAGAATTGCTTGAGCTTGATGAAGAATACCAGAGGAAGGTCAGAGAAGGAGAAATAGCTTATAAAAAGAAATATACGGTTGCAACAGGAAGAGGATATGACTTCACTGAAGAGGAAAGAAAGAAATTTGCAGATTCTAAAAAGAATCAAGAGAAGGGACTCTTTGCCGAAGCTGAAGAAGAAATCTCAGATTCAGAGATTAAGATCAGGGAAGCTGGTGAAACTGAAGATGAGAACTTCCAACTCAGTGATCACCGTTTGAATGAAATCTTGAGAGACCCTAAAGCTAAGCAAATTGCTAGAGAGGCCTCTCTGAAAGCAACTAAAGAAGCACTGGTACAAGGGTTAGAAGGAGATAAAATTGTCGAACTTGCCGATAAAGCTATTATGGAAGCACTTTCGACTTACAGACCTCAGTCTAAGTTTGAGAAAGGAATGGAGCAAGCTATGAAAGTCAGAGATTCTTTCATGGACAGAGAAAATGAGTCAAGTGATCACTTCACTGCAAAGTTTGAAATCAATGATTACCCTCAGAATTCGAGATCAAAGGTTTGCTCAAGAGATTTCTTGAGTACTATTTATGACCTGACTGGGTGCCAAGTTTCAGTCAGAGGAACTCATTTCGAACAAGGCAAGGCTGTCCCTATGGGCCAGACAAAGCAATACTTGTTCATTGAAGGTAGTTCAAAGCACGAAGTTGCAAACGCTTATAAAGAATTGAAGCGTGTATTAGATGAAAGCGCATCAGCTGCAGCAGCAAGCGGAATGGGAGGAGCTGGAAAATACAATGTTATATAATTTGACCCAATTTAACATTGCTGTGAAATCTATTGCATATTTCAATACACAAAATTTAATCAGGGGTTTTGGGGTTTTGGGGTTTTGGGGTTTTGGGG